TAGAGCAGTATACTGGGAACCGGGACTCCTGGGTGCGATACCTGGCCTGCTAATTGATTTCCTGTGTGATCTCAGGCCCAAGCTGAGATGTGCCTGCTAATTTTCAGAGCAGAGCATGAGACACCTAAATCCTGAATTTAAGAGGCACTTGACACCCGCACCACCAAAATTAAGTCACTGGGAGGTCCAAATACTCTGTGCATGTGAAACTCATGTCTTGGATTTGGCCCCTGGAAGTTAAGGGGCACATTTGAAAATATGGGGCTCAACCTCCATGTGCCTGAGTCTCCCCATCTTTAGAGGGATGTAACAATGCTCATAGAGGTGTGGGGAGATTTAAGTGTTACTCGTATGTTTTCCAGTTCTCCATGTTCTCCTACATGTGCAAAGTGTTGGGGAAAGGAGCTATGGATATCACGAATTGTCAGGAACACCGTAAAACCACACATTCAAGATTATGGCCAGTGGACTTCATTTCTGGCACACTCTGCATTTTCTGAGTTCTTTGATTATTTGCATTCTCACAATTCTTTACTTGATTATATCTTCTATAACACCAAGCAGCATCCAGGAGACAGAGAACCCCTGTTTCAAACCCAAAGAACTTTCTTTGAGCCTGCCATTTGCTTGACTTCGATGAATCTTTATTACTAGAAAAGCTGTATGAACCTAGAGCTTCCATGCCCAACCAGAAGAGAAGAAGTTCTTGAACTGCCTCCTGTTGGACACATGATCACATAAGTCTTTTCTGTCCTGAAAATCTGATTCCTAAATGTCTTGCACTTACCGTGTAAAGTGGTGCCATCTCTAACCATCTAGAATTCGGTTTCTGAATGAAAGGTTTAGTTTATCGTAGAGATAGGTCCCAACTAATTCCTGGATCCAACCACCCCCAATTTGTCAAAGGCAGGTTAAAAGTGTGAATCATGCCGATGGCCTAACTACGTAGAAATGGACCAAACCAGAACCGAAGATCAAAATATCCCCTTTCCCACTTACCTCCCAAACAGAAGTGTTGAGATTCTCGACACAATCTGTGTTTACTGTGTGTGTGCTTATTGGAGACGGGCCACAAATCAGAAGACAGATCTGAATGCTTCTCAGAATTTAGGGCTTTTCAGGAGCCAGGCCCCAAATTTTATAACTCAGATCTGCATGGAATCATAAGACTGGAAGGGACCACGAGTGGCCATCCAGGCCCCTGCACTCATGGCATCTATCGATCGATCTTAAGGTTTTATACGGCACCCATCATCACAGCAGCTGAGCCTCTTTTTAGGCACGATCTGAACTCGGATACTCAACCCAACTGCCCTGGAAGTTTGGCCAAGTTCAGATGCAGATCCAGGTCTAGATATTATTTGTATTGCAAGAGCACCTGTAGGCCCTAATAATGGATCACTGTGCTGGGCGCTGTACAAAAAGTCTGTCCTTGTCCCTACAGAGCTTACAGTTCAAATACAAACTGCACAGCTCAGTTCAGCTCTAACATGTACAGGAAAATGGAATATTTCACAAGAGGCAAATCAAACCTTGAAGGGGGAGGAGGGGAGGGGAACAGATGATGCTCTCAGACACTCAGAGAGAAATAATTTGCCATATTTGGAAATGAACATACCCCACCTACTGCTATATAGGTTGAGAGAGTCAGCTTGGCAGCTGCTATCGAGACCTACACTTCCCCCAGAAAACAACCTGCAACTCTCTAGCAGAAAGGTGAGTGATTACCAACATCCGGCACAGATTTTTATCACTTATTTTCATTTGTGTTTGCATAGGATTTTGCCATTTACATTTGTTGTTTAAAAACTTCTCACTCCGTCCTGTATTGTGAATTGCAGAGCTATGTAACCATCATTTGTTTTCAGTTACTCCTAAGTGACCTGGATAAAAGGGACTGCTGATGGATCTGCAGTAATTCACGACCCAAAGACTGATCTCGAAGCAAAAAGGAATTGCATTGATGTAACAAGGACAAGAATTCACTTCAAGCTCTCTTATCTGGATGATTATTAGACATGCTGTCAGATAAGTTACCTGATATCTGCACGGTGAGATCCTAAAAGAACTGTCTGTTTCTTCCAGCCCAAGCAATGTTTATTGCTCTGGGATATGAAAACTATCATAGAAAATGTTTTTAATGGGTATAGTTGCATGTTGGACCCTAAATGACCTTTCCATTGAGTTTCCAAACCTTGTATCTATAGATTCTTTTCCTGGAAAGGAAGAGAGTTCTATTCATCTGCTAGTTTAGATAGAAGCAAATCTAGAAGTATGTAGTACCATATTGATGGGGAAAACCACAAAGCACCTACCAAAAAAGAAAAAATGTATCTGGTGGGTTTCGTTGCTGAATTTAGCCTCACAGGGGGGAAAAAAATGTATCACATTCACAAGCTTGCTTATGCTTGTGATCTCTTCTTTGGGCTGAATGGTCCGTTTATGAACGAGCTAAATCATTCTGTTCTAACCCGATCCTCACTCTCCTAGAATTCCCACCGACTCTCAGTCAGAGTTTTGCCGGAGTAAACACTGCATGATTTGGCTCTACAGAAATACACCGGCAGCACTGCATTCCCCCCTCAATAATACCACCTTGCCTGTCTCAGGATCCCAAAGTGGCTTACCATCATCCACTGCCACCACACCCCTGCAAGACAAGAAACAAACATGGAGAAACTAAGGCTCAGGGAGGTTAAATGATGTACCCACGGTCAGAGAAAACCAATGGGAGAGCTGGGGAACAGAACCCAATTCCTCTGCTTGAACCAGAGGTCAGGAAAAAAATAGGAAATGGTATAGAAGCATCCACCCATTCCATCTTCTGTGTGTTTCAAGCTAACCTACAGGATACATATACACAATACTCTATCTGTCCAGGTATTTAAAATGCGCCCATCACCCTGATCTCCACACAGTCGTCTCTTGTTGATCTTTCCATTCTAGCCTGCCACTCTGGTGAGCAAGATTGGTTGGCAAAAAAAAAAAAAAAACCCACCCAAACATAGACATTTGAGCCAAATGCATGGTTGTGGGTACATAGCTAAGAGGGAGATAGGAGAGGGAGAAAGAGTGTGTAATTGCACACATTTTACTTCCTTTTTCTCTTTTATGTGGAGCCTTCGGAGACAATGCTAAGCAGTACATCTGAGTACCCTTAGCTGGGTCCACAGAATTGATTCAATGAGGAGCTTGATTTGACAGCCTTTTTTAAAAAAATGTTACCCACAGATTTCTGCGATGAATAAAACATCCACACACACTTTCCACAGGAAGAAGCTGTAACATACTGTGGAACAATTTGTCAGGGCTGCAAGCTACGAACCTTGCTCTATGAGCCTAGCTGGAAAGCGGCTACTTGTTACTTTCCACTGAAAGTGAAGCCTTACAAAAAGGCAACATCCTGTGATCATAAAACAGCCTTCCTATTAGCATAGAATGAGTTGGGACCTGACGCAAAGCCCACCCAAGTCAATGGAAGGTCTCCCATTGGATCAGGTCCTACATGCTCAGAAAACTCCATTTCCACACCGTGAGCATGAACAGTTTCAAAACTTATTATGATGGATCCAATGGATTGATTTTTAAGCAGATTCCCCCCACCCCCATTGATATCAGTGGGGGGGGGGGAGTTCTGCTTGATATCCAGTGGCACAATATGCGTTGTGGCTATTAGTTATTTCTTACCCCAAAGCAATTCCCAAAACACGGTGGGTTCCGAAGTAAACAGGGTTAGGTGGAGAACAGCAAAGGGTCATTAAAAACTAACATTCACCGGATCCAAAGCCCATTGAAGTCAGTGGGACCAATGTATTCCTGGAGAGCCCTGTTCAATATTCTTAGTTCTCCTTTTGCAGCATACAAAGAACGCTCTTATGGCAGCCTAGTTCGTTAGGCGTTAATTCCAAAATACTTAGAAGTTAGAAAAGCCCTGAACTCCCTCCTTAAATCTCAATGGGGAAAAGCATCTAAATCGCTGAGGTCATTTTGAAAATAGCAACCATTGACTTTAACGTATGCCTCAGTTTCCCCATATGTAAAATGGAAATATCACTCTGGCTACTTACACGAAGGTACCTTTGCCCACAGTCTACTGCACCGTGCAACTGCCGCTCTATCTTTCGTGCTTAAATGGCCCCCACTACTTTCATTTCCGGGCAGGTCACAACACCCCTGTGGGGCAAGGCAGTGTGACTATCCCCATTTTACAGGGCCCAAAGATGGAAAGTGATTTAAATCAACCCGGAAATCTGTGGCAGAGCAGGGGAATTGAACTCGGGTCTCAAGTTCCAGGCTGGTGCTGTAACCATTCAACCATCTTTCCTCCAGCCAAAAGGAAGTATCTGGCTGCTCTTACACAGCCTCTGGGTAATACTGGAGGCTTGTGATGCTTCATTATAAAGTCCTTTGAGACTTCTGGTTGAAGAGCACTTTCTGCGTATGATTATTTGTCACCTAAATGTTGGCAGCTTCCCCTGGTTGTTTTTCCCCATTCTTACCCTGGCAGTCAGTCAAACGGCTTGCCCAAACTGCATAATGTCATGGAGTTGACATGCTGGAGAATTTGGATCCAGAGTTGTTCCCCCTCCTCTTCCAAAAACGGTTGGGGAGCATTTGGGACAAGAGGGTTGGTTTTGTCAATTATAAAGTTAGGAACCTTGGCAAAATTCAGGTCTGGATGCAGGCGAGGATTCTGATCCCCTCCAAAGTTTACAGGGTGTTGGGATTGAGGCCATATCTGTAGAAAATAGATTAGGGTGTTAAGAATGACTGTTAATCCAGGGAGGACATTGTGGAAGTGGAGAGGGTTCAGGAAGAGCCGTGAGAGTTATGAAAGGATTGGAAAACATGCCTTATAGTGACCGGCTCAAGGAGCTCAAAATATTTAGTTTAAGAGAAAGTTAAGGGACGTCTCCATCACAGGCTATAAGTACCTGCATGGGCTCTTCAATCTAGCAGACAAAGAGCATAAGAAGATCCAATGGCTGGAAGTAGAAGCTGGACAAACTCAAACTGGAAGTCTTTTAAAACAGTGAGATTCAACGGTAAATTATCAAGTTGCCAGCCGCTCTGGAGGATTCGCCATCAATTGCCATTCTCTGAGTCAAGACCGGATGCTTTACTGAAGATATACCATATTGTTCAAACAGGCATTATTTGAGGGCTGTTCTGTGGCCTGTGTTCAGCAGGAGGTCAGATTAGATCATCACAATGGTCCCTTCTGGCTTTATAATCCAAATCTCTTCCCCTTTCAGATCCTCCAGAATGGGAAGGACCCGGATGGTGACCTGTGGGATGGCTATGCTTTTGCTGGTGCTCTGTAGCGATATCACCCTTTGCAGGAGGGGCGGCTCAACAAGTAAGAAAGCAAACCAGAATAAAAGTCCTCCCCCCGTTAATAAGCCCAGCCCGCCATCCAAAAAAGAGCCTGTGAAGATTCCAGGCACGCTCTGTTACACCGGCCAGTTGCTCGACATCAAACTAGAGCCCGAAGATGCCAGATATTACACCGACAACTTCAAAAAGTTCCCCGATTGCGTTTATTTCCCTCGGTGCTTCCAGTCTCTAGAGGCGAATGCAACCAAGGACGCGTTGGTTAGCGAGTGCTTTAACGTTACGGTGAGTCTGACTGAAAACAAACTGGGCCTATCCGAAGGAAAGAATGCCACCAGTGCGTACGCCAGGGTCATGTGGCGAGTGATAAGCCACTTGTGTGCAATGGATTTCTGCTGCCAACCATGCAGCCTCGCTCTGTCCATCCACGGTTCCTTTGGTCGGGTAGCAATGCTTTGCCTCATGAGTTTTATTTCTCTTACCGTGCAATGAACTTGCATTGATTTACTGGCAACGAGGGAGTACCTGTCAGTAACTATTTACCTCTTATGATTTCTGTACGTTAAACTTCCATAATTCTTTTGTTATTTTAACCAAAATCCTTTGTGCGTATAAACTCAAGTGGCATTTATCTATTCTATCAAACTCATGTGCTTTGTTTTACAGTGGGCTACTGTGTGTCCAAATAAAAGGACCATGCTAATCTTTTAACTCCTTTAACCCAGTCCAGGGAACGATTCTGGATTCTATAGTAATGGACATTCTTATTAATATGCGTTATAATTAACAAGACCAGGTAATATACAGGGTGCGTATGATACAGTTATGTTCTGTGATTAATATTTGTTATTGCAGACTTTTCCTGTGATGAAATAAATGACCCACTGAGAGATGTTGTTAACTCATTAAGAGCTACCGGTTGCCACAGCTGTCAGTAATAATGTCTGGATTATAAATCCCCTTTAGTTTATCAATCAGGTCAAGTGCGATAACCATAAAAGAAATCCCATACGTAATGAGGTAAAAATGAGATACTGAAAACAACACAGAGTGAAATAACTGTGAGAAAGTAACTTTTCCCTCCCCACAAAGATTTCTTAGTCTCACATCCTATAAAAGGAAAGAGTTTTGGGGGGCTAAATTGGGAATGAATACTGCCAGCATTCCACTAAGTACGGAAGATGCGACTAAACTACCTTTTCTTCATCATGTAGAGGGGTGGTAAAGTATGTTTTCTTTCTGTATCCTGGATATTGCTGTATTAATCTTTGATTAAATCATTCCATTTGAGCCGGTTATTCCACTATTTTGCATTGTTACTAAATTCCAACACGCAACCGTATTCAAGTGAAGGAAGCCATGGGCTGGTAGCAGACACAGTCTTCTCCTCTTCAGTTTGTGTAACGCCAACAGACCCCGGTCGTCGGCGGGCAGGATCGAACCGGGAACCCCTGGAGCTTAGTGCATGCGCCTCTACTGCATGAGCTAAGAGCCAACTGACTGTCAGCTAAGGGTGAAGAGCAGACTCATTTTCTCTCTCTTTACGTGGTCTCGGTGTCACTAGATGGGACACACCACCACACCCAGGAGGGTTACATTTGCACAATTGAATGATCAAGCTATGCGATAGACAGTGATCTGTGTGCCCTAGCACTCCCCCATTTCTTGGCTTTGCCCTTCCTAATCAGCATGTTTGAGACTCATGGGAAACTCAGTTGTGGTAATGATATTAAATACTTGGGAGCAGCAAAGCGTATTTGGAAGGGCATTATGCACTGTAAGAAAGGCACAGTATAAGGAAACCTACTGAGCAACCAAACTTCCTCCCACACATTGAGTCTCAACCGACAGGTGCGAGGGAGTGGATGGGGTGGTAAATGTTGCACCAAATCTAGTGATCCTGCTTTACAGAGGTTCTTAGAAAAAGAAAGGCTGGTCTTTTGGATTAACTATAACGAAGGCTAAGATTTTGTCATGGTTATTTGTAGTAAAAGGCACAGACAGGTCATGGGCAACAAAAATAAATTCACGGAAGCCATGACTCGTCTGTGACTTTTGCTGTGGCAAAAGCCTGCAGCAGGTGGAAACTTCTGAGGGGCCCCCTCCACCCACGGAGGCTGGGAGCTGCAGGGTGATCATATGTCCCAGCGAGACAATAGGACACCCCCAGCCGCTCGCCCGAGGTGTCCCCCTGTCCTCGCATGAGGCTGTCGCCTGTCGCGGGAACCTTGTCTCCTGTCGCTGCTGTTGCCCGTCGGTGGAACCCTGCCATGGCCCCCTGGCTCTAGCATCCTGCAGCCCCTGGGGCTGAAGCAGAGAATGTCACAGAGCTCTCTGGAAGTGGCAGATTCCATGACCTCTGTGACATAAACGTAGCCTTAACTACAACTTAGAGACTGTAAGCTATTCAGGACAGGGACTGTCTCCCACTGTCTGTAAGCCTGTAACACAAAGGGGCCTCTTTCTCAACAGTTTATCAAGCAATTGTGTCCTATTCCAATAGTCCTTATGAAGGATATAATCATCTCACTCCCCTCCGATATGGAGGAATTCACATTCTGCATGGTCATAATGTCACCCTGCTCATGCATATTTGAAAGTGGAGCTGCTTAGAAATGGATAGATCATCATGCACTTGGCTGCAGAGTCAGTAAATGCTTTCGTGGTAGGGAGTCTATTTCTTTGAGTGTAAATGATTCTAAATGAATGTTTAATGGGAAGATAATGAGTGGGGCACAATGCTTTGTGCTTAGTTTGAAATGAAGGATTAATGTGCCCATTTAGAGAGCTATGCGCTTCTCACATTAATGAGGTTACATCACAGCTGACTCTGGCATATTACAAGGGAGGAGAGGATGCTGTCAGCTAATTACATTTTGCTACATCGCATCACTCCAACGGACTGTTATCTGCGGCAGAAACAACTCTGACCCTGGAATCAGCGGCACCCAAACTGTCTCTGCAATTGCATCATTATTATCCAAATTAAGAGCAGAGTGAGATCTTGGACCAGATCCTCAGCTGGTGTCAATCAGCAAAGCTCCATTGCTGATTTAGGTTTATGGGGGGGGGGGGCAGAAAACCCACGATTTTCTACCAAACATTTTTAAAAATAAGAACGACAGGTGAGTGACTATTCAACTAAAAACAAAAATTGGTCCAAAAAAAAAAAAATGCATTGGGTATTTTGTATTATAACCCCCCTCCAATTTAAAAAAAAAAAAACAACCCTCAGTAAAACTGCAAGCAAAACAGATTTAATTTTCATTACAGTTTTCCATGGGGGTCAAAAATCCTCCTGTCGCTATTTCAAAAGCTCCATACGTAACAAAACTTGACACATGAACCCCATTGCAGAAGAAATAGTCCGAGACCATAAAAAAAAAAAAGAAGAGCTAAAAGCCAGGCTCCAAGAGCAATCTGTAAGCAAAACTGGAGAGTACAAAGCGTCCCTCCAGCTAGAACATAGCCTTAGTCATTCAATTACAGAAAGAACACTGGCTTAAAGCATATAGCATTAGCCTCTCCCACTGGACACACTCCTCTGGCCTGACGTTCCTTCTCAAAAAGGCACAGGCACAGCTTGATTTAACTTGGAGACCAACACTGAACTGCGTTTCTACGTGCTGCCGTGATGGGTAAGGCTTAAGACTGTGTTAGCGGGGAGGTTGCCAATCAGCACTGCACCCCAAGCAGAAGGCTCACACTCATTCAATCCTGCTGGACTTGGTTTTCTGGGCATTAGAAAGCTTTTTCTGAAGTAACCAAAATTCACAGCAGGACCATAGTGTTAGAAGCCGGATGGTCAAGTGGCTAGGCCATTAGCCTGGGACCTGGAAGGCCTAGGCTCCGTTCTGTGGTCTGTCATAGACCTGGGTAAATCACAGTCTATCTGTGCCTCGGTTCCCCGTCTGTAAAATGGGAACAATAACCCGGCCCTACCTCACAAGGGTGCGGTGAGAATAAATACAAAAAAAGATTACGAGGTGCTCAGATAATGGGGGCCATGCAAGTACCATAGATTGGTGGGTGAGGAGCAGTGCACAGAGAGCACATTAGATGGTAGCAGATTTCGCTTCTCCCATTGCCTCCGAGGCTGCCTGTATTGACGGACCACAATCCTCCATGAGGCTGGGGATTAAAACAGCAAGCCAAGACATCTGAACTCCAGATTTGTTTGTAGATTCCTATATTATATCTGACTTTGTGCAGCAACCCAATTGCTTAGACTGTAAGCTCCTTGGGGCAGGGACTGCTTTCTGTTCTGTGTTTGCGTATCACCTAGCTCGGTGGGGCCTTGGTCTATTGTTTCGTTTCCTCGGTGTTACAGCAAGAATGGTAATAAATAGGAAGGAACATAAAGCCATCGCTGTGGTACCTATATCTATGAGCTGCATTAATGCAAGAACTATGCTTTCGTAGATTGACAAATCAGGTTCTACGTATCTCATTGATTTTTTACACTAAGGCCACTTTACGCCCACTTTACATTTCCAGAGAAGCGTATGGGTAAATTATACCGACTTTAAAAGGTCCCTTTACTCGGCCAGATCCGTATAAAGTGGCCTGCATGTAAATGAGAAAGAATCAGGTTCATGACAGATAAGAAAAACCCCAACATAGCTCCCCCAGCATGAGGAAAATGAAGATGATAATGCTCAGAGCAGAGCCAATAAGCAACAGTTATCCCCTTTGTTCCCCAATTTTCAGAAACAAAGAGGTCATACAAATCACAACGAAAAGAGGGCAATGGAACAAGATAGCAGCCTACAAATATCTGATGGGTATAAACACCTGGGAAGGAAGGGGACTGTTACTGTGTGATATGGGGATATAGGTAGGAGAAAATGGATTAAGTTTAGGCTGAGCATCAAGAAGCAGCTTCCTGACAGCGAGAAATGCAAGGCTGAAGACTTTGGTTTCCCCAGGGATGTGGGACTCAGCATAAGTTATTTGAAAACCTAAAACTTCAACACATAAAAACTGCAGAGATGCACGTGCTGTCCAGGATAACATGACACGGAGCTGGAAATTCAAAAGATGTGCTCTCAGATGCAATTCAGCCCTGAGGTCCAGCACAGGGGTGCAGGCTTTGTGCTGGGCATCTGCATATGGATGAATTTCACCCTTAGTACATGAAGTCAGTGACCCCTACACACCAATCCACTACCCTTTTGTAAAAGGTGTCTCAGCCCCTGCAGTTAAGAATGGAACAAACAGCACCATCTACTGGCTAAAGCATACAAATTATCTCCCTCCAAAGCATTTGCCTCTGGCTGGATCCACATAATCTTTAAAGTGGCTTCGATAACCATACTTTCCAAAGCGTCTGTTATTGGAGGTGAGAACTGCTGCTTGATATGAATAAACTTAGCAACACGTTTCCGAATGTTTAATTGCCGATGTCGTTTCACAACCCATTGCTAGAAAAAAGTAACACACTCCAGGTTGCTTAAAAAAGAAAATCCTACCTATACCCTGTTGATATGGAATAGCAATTTCATAGCTAGGGTTACCAGACAGCAAGTGTGAAAAATCGGGACGGGGTGGGGGGGGTAACAGGAGCCTATATAAGAAAAAGACCAAAAATCGGGATTGTCCCAATAAAATTGGGACATCTGGTCACCCTATTCATAGCAGCTTAATGTCCCTAATTGCTTGACTGAAGAAGATTAGTACAAAACAGAACTGTTTTTAATTGGAATCGTTACAGTTCGGTTTATTGATCCAACAACACTAACCCTAGTGGATGAAAAGGACGAATGGGTTTGGTTTGCCTTAATACATTGATCCATTGTGTTTGAGGGATAGGAGCCTCAACCAAAATGAAAGTATTCCTTCAATGATAACAATTGTTATGGGCCCTGTGGAGCCATTGCAGCTTATTAGGTCATTAACCGATACAATATTTAGCGATTGAAACAAATGAATATTGTGCTCATGTCAAGCCATTTGAATGTTGATGCCAAAAATATTGTTTTCTTTTTGAAGCTACTCCAAAATTTAAGAAATGTAATCTACAGATAATAAATACTAATAAAAAAACAGTTAAATCTAGGCAGGACAAGGCAGTAGGACAATATGCTCATGGGAACAGTCCTGCACTGTCATGGGAGAATGGACTGGCTCCCCTAGGAATTGATTGCTCTCACTGTGATTCTGC